AGGACATCAGAACCATTTCTCCTTTTAGCCTTTACTATTAGTTGGCCAAGCCGGATGAAAGAGAAGTGAGTTGAGTAGGAACAAGGCCCAGAAGGGACAGAGCTCCATTCACATGAGGCTCGTCCTGAATCTGTTGTCTGCTACTGTAACAAATCTGCTACTACAGATTGGGAAATTTGTTTTATAGTCCCGAGGCTGGAATGTCCAAGACAGTGACACCTGCATGTGGTAGAGACATTGGAAAGTACAGCAAGACAGGAAGCCAGCCAAACCCACTCTTGCACTTGCCAACCCCACCAGGTAACAGCATGAATACATTCCTAAGGATGCAGACCTTATGACCTGATCACCTAAATGCCCCTCCTCCTCACCAATTAAATTTCAAGCTCAGTTTTTGGAGGAATATTCACCCAATAGCAGGGCCAGAGCAGCCATGAGAAAGAATATTGGGCAGCAGGAGGATGCTCTGTGCTTGTGATGATGTGCCAGAGTGGAGGGCTGTCATGGAAAGGGCCCTGGTTGCCCTCTGGGACACAGATCTGTTAGCACAGTGGCGGTGGTGTCTCATGTAAGATAGCATTTGGAACATGGGGTTTGCAGACATATTCTCAGTGGTCTGTTATTCTCTACAGGATCTCAAATTAACATCTTTGGTTTTCTTTGGTGCTATTGATTTGAACTAATGGCTTGCTGGCTTGACTGGCACTCTGTCATGCTGCCAACCTTTTTTGCTAAAGCTATTTTTTCAGAAGGGCTTTCATGTCTTTCTTGGGGCTGACTTCCAACTGTAATCCTCCTATTTTCACTTCCCCAGTTGCTGGGATTACAGGGGGTAAGTATCATGCCTGGTTCTGTTCTCACAAACTAAAAAAAAAAAAAACCCAAATGAAATACTTGGTATTACAGAAGAAAACATAGTATGCTTATGATAGGCTGCAATAAAATGAACATCCATGAACCTACCATGGAAATTGTAAAGCAGAAACATCTGCTTCTAATTCCCTGCTCTTCCAAACCAACAGGGTGCTTCCCTTTTCCCAAGTCCCATGAGCAGTTCTCCAGGGATGATGTGTGAGTGTTAACCCCACATGAACATGTTTATATGTGATGTAAACATTCACACATCTGACCTATAGCCAGGCAGAACCCACAGGAACTTGTAAGAGTCAGGGGATAGAAATGGAACACAAGGGGCTGGGAAGGTGGCTCAGTGGTAGAGCGCTTGCCTTGCATGCATGAGGCCCTGGGTTCGATTCCTCAGTACCGCATAAGCAAAAAGAAAAAAGCCAGAAGTGGCGCTGTGGCTCAAGTGGTGGAGCGCTAGCCTTGAGCTGAAGAGCTGAGGGACAGCGCCCAGGCCCAGAGTTCAGGCCCCACGACCACCCTCCATCCCCCAACCCCAAAAAGAAATGGAACACAAGCCCAGAGAATGGAAGGAGGCAAGACTCTGCTTCTTTCCAGAGCTGGACTTCCTACCATCACATCTCAGCTCTGCCTCTTATTATCTACGTGACCCTATGTAAGTGACTCATCCTTACTGTGCCTAGTCACATGATCATGAGACTTACCTCAGGCTATTCGCAGATAGCCCAGTAAAGCACTGGAACAGGGCCTGGCAGCAGGCAGCCACAGCTGTCCTCTCTACTGGATACTGAAGCATGGTGTGTCCAGGGGCCAGAAGGACATGCATATCAAGATAGATGCTGGCTTTAGTCACCTCTCAGGGCCCCTTGTGGGGAGAGAGGCCACGCCGGCACAGAGCCTGAGTAGTAGGAGATGGCATTATCCTCTGTCTCATCTCTTGGTTGCCTGGTGAATTCCCTCTGAGACTGAGGCACTCAGATGGGCAATCCTGGCCTGGCCGTGAACTGCCCTAGAGGTCCGCACAGGAGGCACTTCCAGGGCCCATCTGAGGAGTGCACAGGTGGACAGAGTTCAATGCCTTTCAATACATAATTGGGAATTAGATGCCCGTTCACAAGACCTTTGTCTGCTCTTGTGTGGGGGCAGAGCAGTGAGCTAATGAGTACTGGAAAGGGCCAGGGAGGCTGGGTAGGTTTGAGCTGGGCAGCGAGCTCTGTGCCCAGGGGGACTTAGGTACTTCTTTGCCCAAGAAACTCATTTCCTCTGACACGGTGTCCACTTTCCCTTTATTAGCTGGTCAACAGTCTTCTGACGCGTTGGGCCTGGCAGGCGTTGCTACGGCTCATGTTCCCAAGTCTAGGGGCTGACCCAAAGCTTGGGAGCAAAACCATGGTCATGCTTTAAACAAAATGCTCCCTGAGGGTTGTGTCTCAGATCAGAAGTGCTGCAGTGGCAGTGGCAACGGCACCAGTTGGAATTACACGTGCGTGTCCAGGGCCACCGGGGCTCCTGGAGTGGTCATTCTGGGGCTGGGGCTCGGGTCTGCTCTGTAAGCCCCCCTCAGTCCTGACATGTGCTCCAAAGACAGCAGCAGGGTAGGCTCAGGGAAAGGGAAGAGGTCTACACAGGAGCTTTGTGAGACTGCGCAGCAAGACAGGGCCAGGCCCCAAATCCATTTGTCATAATCCAGCAGTGGCAGTTTCTGTGCCTCTGTTTTCTCACCTGCAGCTCAGGATTGGTGTCAAAATCTGTCAAGACTCTGCAGATGAGACTTTGACAGCAGTAAAACATCTCACACATGGTGGGAATGTGGTCACTTGCCCCCAGCTGTTACTGACCCAACAACGTCAAGAACAGGGGTCTTTATGCCAGAGATTGGAGTTCTCTGCAGATTCAAGGGGTCCTAGGATAACCAGGACATCTTCAGAAGTAAGCAGAAAGCTGTCTAAGGCCTAGAGCAATCACTTTCAGGCCAAGAGCCAAGAACCAGTGAAGACCTCTGTCCTGTACCCCCACCCACAGCCTGTGATCTTCTTAAAAGTGGCAGGCAGTTCCTGGCATACCTTAGGTAGGAACCTGCAATGGTACCAGGGGTTAGGGAGCCAAATATAGAAAAGTGAACTGCTAGCTTTTGCCTGAACCTGTTCCCCTCACGCCCAGGGCTTTCCATAGTTCCTAAGGGATAATGGACTCTGACTGAAGCTGGGCGTGGGGGGCAGGGCAGAGATCACAGCATCAGCCTGAGTTCAGTCATCAGGAGCCAACAACCCTGCCAGATGCCTGTATTATCTCTATTAATCCTGATGGCAGGTAATTTTTTCCCCTTTTGTGTGTAGGTACTGGGGCTCAAACTCAGTGTCCTATACTCAAGCTGAACTTTTGTTTCTGCTCAGAGCTGTAGCTTTACCACTTCCTTATTAATTATTTTTAAAGATAGTATCTTGCTATATAGATCTTTCTGCCCCAGCCTCCTGATTATAGCTGGGCATCACAGTGCACAGCTTCTCAGGTAGGCGCTAACCCGATTTATAAATGCAAAGACTGAGGCACAATGTGAAGTGACTTTGCCTAAGGGGATAAGTGCAGCAGTGATTCACACCTGGGCATGTGAGTGATACTAGCTGTGTGGTTAATACAACACAGAGGTATGAGGTGGAGGAGGGCACAGAATGGGACACAATCACAGGACAGAGGAACTTAAGATGCGTCATGAAGCACAGTGGAAAACTCAACATTTAATTAACAAGAAATGCTGGGCTCCATCCACACAATGCCAGGAGAAATACTGGTATTTCTGAGTGCACTTGCAGCAGGCATCTAATGGAGAACAGTTAAAACTCAGGGCACAGATAGCGGTAGTAGAGGCGAGGGAGGTAGTGCTTCTCAGGCAGTTTGTCTTACTAAATGACAAGTTCTGGAGATGTTCTCCAGCATCCACATCATGACGACGATGGTTGTACAAGTGGAATGCACTGAATACCACTGAGACATACACTTAAAGTGGTCAAGGTGGCAAATGTTGGGTTTATGATCATTAAAAAAAGCCATCAGAAAAAGCCAGGTCGGGTGGCTCAAGCCTGTGATGCTAATTACTAGGAGGATGGAGATTGGTGAATCACAATTTGAAACTAATACAGGCAAAAAGAAGTTTGTAATCTTACATCTACCAATGGCTGTACACAGTGACACATGCCTTTTACCACAGCTGTAAGGTAAGCACAGCAGCACAGGCCTGTCATTTCTAGTGACACAGGGAAACACAAACAGAATTGTAGCCCAGTTGGGCCCAGACATAAAACAAGACCCTAGATAGAAACTACCAGTGCAAAATCTATGCTGGAGGTATAGCTTAAGTGATATAGGGCCTAGGCATGAGCCCTTGAGTTCCACTCCAGTACCATCATTTTTTTTTTTTTTTAAAACTTAAGGACGTGTGGATGTAGAGTCATTGATGTCATTCCTTCTTCACCTCTAGACTCTATTACCACCAGGAGCCCAGCCACACTGCACCCCGGGATCAAGCCAGCCAAACAGAAGAGGCACAGGAACACTGAGAACACACTTGTGCTGGGCAGCTGTTAGCCTAGTCTCTAGAGCGATTTTTCTTTTGTGCCAGTCCTGGGGCTTGAATTCTGGGCCTGGGTACTGTCCCTGAGCTTTTGTGTTCAAGGTTAATGCTCTACACCTTGAGCCACACATCCACTTCTGGTTTTTGGGTGGGTTAACTGGAGATAAGAGTCTCATGAACTTTCCTGCCTGGGCTGGTGTTGAACTGTATCCTCAAATCTCAGCCTCCTGAGTAGCTAGGATTACAGGCATGAGCCACTGGTGCATAAAACCTCTAGAATGATTTTAAGACTTTTCCCTTGCCAACGTTTTGAAAATTAGTATTCTCACTACTCAGATAAGGAGATGGGATCCAGTCATGAAGCACTCCTGGTGTTCAGAACTCATGGGGTACCAGTCCCCCTCTGCCCCGACAGTGGTGGGTTCCAAGGATGGCAGTCTGGGGGACATTTCAGGTGTTTGCCCCTTGCCACGGTCATCTGAGATTCTGCAGACACAGCTGGTTTTGTGATGGCAGAGGGGGATGAGCCATGCCAGGAAAGGGCTGCTTCGACGACATCAAGGCCAGAAACGGAATTAAGTTTCATTTATTCTAGGGCAAACTCAAAAGTTTTTTTTTGTTGTTTTCTTTTTTAGCAAATCCTAGCACATTATTAACAAAAAAAAATCTGTACATTTGCCATGATACACTTGGAAGTGAAACAAATAAAGATATAAATACAGATATGGATGTAACATGAAAAAGCCTCCTCCCCCCCGCAAAACAAAACAACAAAACAAAACAAAACACCCAGCTTAGGGGTGTGGGGACCATGCGTGTGAACACAGTGCCAACAAAACTATTCTGGTGGCTGATACTTTTCAGAGCATTTGTTTTCGTTCCCAAACATGGTTAGCAGAGTTCCGGTGGGGTTCTACAACACTCTTACTTGTTGTCCTTTGAAGTGTAATAGTATGCTTCGTCAGGAAAGAGTGACAGGGAAAGAAAAAGATTTGTGAGGCAAAACCAGTTGCATTACCTGAACAGGTGGGTGGTAGCTAGTGGTGAGCCATAGAAAAGACAGACCCAGCCATGAGGCGGCATGGGCCTGCCAAGCACACACAAAGCACTTGAAGAAAGCTGTGGGCCCCCAGGGTCACCACACCTGCAGTGTGGCCCAGCGGTGGCCAGAGAAGAGAGGCAGCAGCCTGAAGGGAAGCAGGTGGAATGACAGTCCCCTGGCCCTGGGGTAGGGAGTCTCAAGGCCCCGCAGGTGGGTGATGGGGAGGCAAACAGTTCTGTAGTGTGGGAGGCGGTGGCAAGGCGAGGCAGCTGTTGGGTGGAAGGCGGTGGTCGGGCAGCTGCCCTCCGTGAGACGCTGGCGGCAGGCGAGGCTCCTCAGTGGGCGCAGTGGGCAGCCAGTTTCAGCTTGAGGCCAAAATATGTGAGGAGTGATGGCATCTCTCTCTAGTCAGGAGATCAAAGTGGCATTCGAGGCTAGCCCTTTATGAATGCTGTGAGGACATCAAGCAATGTTCCAGAAGAGCCTTCCAACCACACTGGGGATCATGGTGGCATTCTGGGAACCAGAGCGCTCCAGGGAAAGGTCTGAGAGAATTCGTAAGTAACCTGGCCAGGACACAATGCTACACACCAGGGGGATGGCCACAGGACTCAGAGCCCCTTTACTCTTGGAGAGTGTAGAACAGAAATCCCATTAATGGACTACTACCAACACAGATAAATAGTATTCATCCTGCAAAGTAAGGCCTGCTTTGCTGTGTTCTGGGCCAAGGTCCCTCAATAATAGCGAACCATTAAAGACACACCCCCCTACAGTTTCCTAGTTGAGCAGCAGGACACTAAGCATGTGTAAGGCACCATCCCAACACTTGGATGTCAGGGGCCTTCATTTTCAGTGTTTATTTCCAAGCCCAGTTATCTGTCCTTCTCTACTTTCCTTGCCCATCTGGAGGGGCAGAGAAGGTGGATGGTGGGATCTGGGGTAAAAGACACATATCTGGTGCCCAGCTCTAGTTTCAGTTTGAGTGTCTGCACTGGAATAGTCCAAAGTAACATCAAAAGAAACCTTTTTCCAGGAATAGTGGCACATACTTGCAATCTAACAGGCAGGAGGCTGAGGCAACTGAGTTTGAAGTCAGCCTGAGCCAAGAACAAGACTTTGTCTGGGGGGGTAGGGGGCTTTTTATTTCTCATGGAAAAAATCAGTTCAATTAGAGGATATCAATTAGAAAAGTAAGTGGCAACAGAAGTCTTCATGATTGCATGAAGAATTGCCATTTTGCATAAGAATTTTATTCAACATTTAACCCAGACTCCAAAACTATAGTTACTTTCTTTGGAGCAATCAGACCCTCAAGAAGTTAAAAGAACCAGAATCTAATAAAAAGAATCTAATAAAAAATCATGATTATATCTTCCTTAATTGGCATGCTTCACCATGCAGGAAGTCATTCGGCTTATAGAATTCAAGATAATGATTTTCATACCTCGTCTCCCTTCACTTTAGTTTGCTCTTAATCCCAAATTAAATAGAAGCCAAAACCAGGAAGGTGAAGTTGCTGTTGCCAGACTAAGAACATTCAATGGCAGCTTAGCAAAGCTAAGGGGAGAGAAAAGAACCTATCTGGGGTCTGGAGACAGTCCCCCCACCCTCCATCACAACTGTACCCCCCACAATCTCAGGAAACAGACCCTTCTCATGTGTGTCATGAAAATGCTATTCCTAAGTAATGCTATATATTACTCTTACATTTGAATCTGGACAGAAACATCTAGAATTCTTTCCAATGGCAGGTCTGGGGTAGGGATCCATTTGTGGAGTATCAGAGGGGGCTGAGAGGAGACTAGGAGCATTCCTGACTACACTGAAGCTGCTCACTCCTGTCTATAAGAAGCAAATTCCATGTGTGTTAGGAGGCCAGCTTCAGGATTGCTCCTGGTTGAATTATAGCATCCTACTTTCAGAAGGTCTCCAAGCACAAGCTAAACAAATACACTTTCTGTGAATGGGCTGGGGAAGGGGTGGGGCGTGGCCTCCTCAGGCCACATATAAGCTAAGAATGGGTAACACAAAGGAATACCTGTCCCATCCCCAAAGCTGTAATTAACCAAAAAAAGAAAAATCAAAAAGCTACTGTCTACCAGGTACAGCTAGAGCGCTCTGCACCCCACACACATGGTCCGTGATCTCAGCAGGCGGTACAAGACGTGTAAGTATGGCTCTTCGTTTCTCACTCCTGTTTCTATGAAGACTGTGACACAGGCCTTGTTTCCATTACATTCAATACCAGTAAGATTCTACACAAAAGCTGGAAGGGACCAAAATACTGATTGTAATAAATATGTGCGGCCTCCTCGCACTGACCGGGCAGTGGATGGGGGGTCTCCAAGGCACCACCGATCACATCGGGTCTGCAGACGCCATGGCGCTGCCACTAGCTGTGTGTGGACACATCGGAGGAGGAGCTGCTGTTGCTGTTGGTAGTCTGGGCCCTCTTTATATATAAATTTAGAAGCTTCATCTGCAGAAAGAAGACAAAAATGAGTGGGGTGGAGGACAAGCAATGGGAGAAAATGAGGGGGACACCACTACCCTGGTGACAACCAGAAACAACTCTGTCCCAGTCCCCTGGCTGGGCTATATGGCACAGTCACTCTGTCACTGCTTGGCAGGGTAATTGCAGTAGCTGGGGCCACAGACAGGGAGGAGGTGAGGCTAGACACAGCATTGCAGAATAACACTACAACACAACACAGGCCTCACAATGGCAGCATCTCTCCCCAACAAAGTGTAGGCAGTGGAGCAGCAACCCTCTGAAGCAAGGTAGAAGTTTGGTGTCCTCATTTGTCTCCCTTACAGGACCTTCCACACACTGTCCCAGCTGTTGGTACCATATTGTATATGTAAAGGGTGGAACACACAGCTATGCTGTGCCATGCTGTGCAAATGGAGTCTGCAGCGAAGGCTACCTAGCTGCCCACTGGAAGCCTGTGGTGGTGTCTTCCTCTTTCTACTGTAGTCCAGTGCTTCACAGAACTCATTCTGCATGCTTATTTTTTTGGGCAGTGCTGGGGAGAGACTCCTGCTCCATGCACATGCCAACCATTCACTCTACTACCTGCTATACAACCAATGCTTCCTTTTTGTTTAGAATCTCAACTATATGCCACAGTGGACAGAGCTATGATGACAATTGTCACTACTCACATGGCCTTAATGCTTAATTAAGCTCAATAGACTGAATGGAGATCTAGAATCAATTCTACCACTAATTAGTTATGTGACACTGGCAAATTATTTTTGGAACCACCAGTAGAATCAAGAGCAATGGTCAGCCTCTGGTGGCTCACACCTATAATCCTAGCTACTCAGGAGGCTGAGATCTGAAGATCGTGGTTCAAAGTCAGCCTAGGCAGGAAAGTCTGTGAGTCACTTACCTCCAATAAACTACTCAGAAAAACCTGAAGTGAAGCTGTTGCTCAAATGTAGAGTGCTAGCCTTGAGCAAAATTGCTCTCAGACAGTGTTCAGGCCCTGAGTTCAAGCTCATGACTGATTAAAAAAAAAAGAGCAATGAAGATGCTTTCAAAGCTCCTTCTGCAATTCCTTGTTCAGAGGATCAACTGCCCCCAAGTTCTATCCAAGCGAGTAGCCCACCCTATCTCTTCCTCAGCTCACTCCTCGTCCTCCTCCTCTTCCATATCCTGCCAGGCCCTGACTGCCCAGCCTAGATTGGCTTCATTTCCCCATTTTATTTTTGAAGAAATTAGAAAAGAAATAATAATTAGCTGGCTCACACCTGTAATCCTAGCTGCTCAGGAGGCTGAGATCTAAGGATTGTGGTTTGAAGCCAGCCTGGGCAGAAAAGCCTGTGAGAGTCTTATGTTTAATAAACTACTCAGAAAAAGCCCAAAGTGGCATGGTGGCTCAAGTGGTAGAACGCCAGCCTTGAGCAAAAAAAGCTCAGAGCCTAGACCTAGAGTTCAAGCCTCAGGAGCAGCAGCTGAGAGAGAAAGAGAGAGAGAGAGAGAGGAATAGAAAAAACAGAAAGAACTAAACCCTAGAATAAAGAAATAGAAAGTAAAAACAATAGAAAATTAATGAACTTGAAAGTTCACTTTTTTAAAAAGGATCAACAAAAATCGACAAATCTTTTTTTTTTTTTTTGTCGGTC